GTCATTGTTGTCGGAAGAAAGAACAAAATCGCATTGGCAAGGGCAGGTGTGCAACAAGGCAGGACACACATCTCCGCAGCAAATGCACGAGAACCGAGTAGATGTACTGATTCCCATCGTTTGACTTTGCTGGACACAGATGTTCTGTGGCGCTTCTCCTTGAACGTCGCACACGAACACTCCATCTCGACCATTGGCACGAATGCAAGCGTTCGTGTTGATGGGAGCCACGCAGCCCGGGTCCCTTGCTTGGACCAGGGATGGGAGCAGCAAGGCCATCATCAGGGCAGCCAGATCGAACATCATGTTCGGATATCTCGTATCTGTTGGCGTTCTGTTCATGTGGCTTTTGTGGCTGTTGACTAGCTACCTTTAGCTTGGATGTGCTTCCGAATTCCGAATGTGTGGCACAATACGGGTACTAGTAGTCTAGTAACATAGAGAGAGAGAGACTGCTGAACTGGTACCGGTTACGAGAAAGCTATCATTGGTGTCAAAAGGATTTCAACTCAGGCTAGCAGGAGCTCCTGGTTCATGCCAAGCTAGTAGTAGGGGTTACACAGCCTGGGCCAGGTGTACCGGTAGATCCAGGTGTTTGGACCAGGTCTAATTCTCAGAGTTGGTCTGGTTGGTTGCGCCAAATGCACCTCTCCAGAAGCTGAGGCAGGGCGGGTTGTGGTGTTTGCTGCACCAGATGTAAAACATTCACTACTGTACCTGCGGGTCCAGACGAATGATGAATCGAATCAATCTCCGAAGCAGGCCTGGCCTACCGGTAGCTAACAAATACCGGTACGATACAGAGTAGAACAGTGTCGAGTATTTCGCTGCAACGTGCAACTTCATTAGTTTTGCTAAAAGGGAACAGTACCGCATACTTCTCCATTAAGCACGGCGTTGGGTGCGATGTCCTGCTACCTACGAGTCGAGTCTCTACTTCTTTGTCACGCGTGCAGTTTTTCTGTTGGACGCAGAGCTAATCTTCTTTGTTGCCACCGTCTTCTTGGCAACTGTCTGTTTCTTTATAGGGAGACTCTTCATCCATTCCTGGAGGCTGGTTTTCAGCTCCTTGCTCTTAACTTTCTTCAACATAGCTTGGACCAGATCCTTATCCTCTAACTTTAAAACATTGTCCTTGCTCTTTTCCTCTTGGAGATTGCAGGTGCGGCATCCCTTGTAGAAGTTGCAGGTTTCGTGGCCACAGTTTTCGTTGGTCTTGGTCTCATGGTTTTCGTCGCAACCAAAATCATCCACTTCATCTCCACAAACATTTCAATCCACAGCATTTATGATAAAAGCCATGGTCGCAACAAAATTCTCTATCGCATCTGTCGCATTTTGTTTTCTTGATCTTATCATTGGCACAAACATGGCAAAAGCTCCCTTCATCATATTCTTCACCAGCAACTTGGCAGCAACTCCAGCAATTGTCATCGCTTTGACATCCGCACATGCCGCAAGCTGTCCACATTGTGAGGATTCGAGTCTAGTACAACCACGTTGGTATTGACACGGATAAGCTCTCGTCCAATCAACAAACAAGCCAAAACTAGCTAGACTATGCGGCCACTGTGCCCCTGTGGTGACAAAACGCGCCATTCAGTTAGTTGCTGGTCGCAGTGCAGCCGCGCAGCCAGCCGACACGAAAGATGCTGCTTCGTCGCATTTTTTCACAATGCAGATGATGGATCGTGAACCTGAACTCCAAATTGTATCAGGGTTCGCTGTTGACATCATTGGTCCAGCTGCAGTGTTCTACTTCCACTTCGAATTAATGGATCTGGGGCTTATATACATGACTACGTGACCTGGTACCGGTTTGGTACCGCTGTCTATGCCAAGGATCAGATCCAGTGAATTCCAACCTCCAGCCCAAACGAAAGAAGAAAAAAGGACACCGGAGGTTAATAGATATACCGGGCGAGCTGACTTAAAAGATGGGCGGCATAGTAATATTGTTGAAGTTTGGCTGAAGTAGTGTCATTAGATTTTTCCGTCTGAGAAAGTGGCGTGGTAGCTTACGGAGCTTAGAGGTGTGCAGCGAGACGTTAGATTTTTCCGTTGAGAAAGAGGCGTGGTAGCTTACGGGAGTTTAGAGATGTGCAACGTGAGACGTCAGATTTTTCCGTCTGAGAAAGAATCGTGGTAGCTTACGGGAGGTTTAGACGTTAGATTTTTCCATCTGAGAAAGTGGCTTGGTAGCTTACGGGAGGTGTGCAAATGTCAGGAAAATATTCAGGATCCGTTGCTATAAAGAGAATGTGTAAGAAATGTGGGGGCCCATGAGGGGGCTTCGATTTTAGTTAAACTCTAACCCTAAGGATAACCAACCAACCAAAACCAACCACCACCACAATAAACAGGTTCAGAGATCACCGGGGTCTGCCCGGTATATGAAAGGCAACTGCATTCAGTGAACTTCCATGGTCTGTTTCATGTGAGCAGTTTCATGTTGGCATACACCCACCGTACCGCGGCTGATCAAAGGCAAAGGCAAGTTACGAACCTGGGATGCTCTTGAGCACTTCGGCACAGTCAACGTCAACATGAGTGCTAGTGGTAGTAGCGATTGCGAGAAGACTGGCGGCAATGCCAAGGACGTGGACGCCAACGCCGTGGATTCCGAGGCCACGGGCAACATGGCGGGGTCGTTAGAATCGTTGCAGACGCCGGTAGAGGGCACGTTGACGAGTGCATCTGTTGTAGAGAAACAGACTCCATGCAACAACGATCATATTAAGGAAGAAGGCAAGGCAAAGACTAATGCGGAATCGACATTGGATATCACCTTGCCAGAGCGTATGCCCATACCAACGCCCTTACCAATGCCCATACCCTTACCCTCGGGCCGACCGGACTCATTACCGGGAGCTTATGCAGTGGGTACAAGTTTCGCTGGTCTCATTACGAGTTTTGCTCGTCGCACCGGGGAGGACAGCGTTATTGCTGGTAACGAAGCAGAACCAGAGGATTCTCCTAGCGAATCACCACCGCTATTGCAGGGTACCCTTGTAGGTCCCCCAAGGAACCGCAGGAGACTCCAAGCCGCATCGTGCCACCCAGCAATGGTGCATACTTCTCAGCTTCCTATCACAGGGACAGCTGTTCGCGATGATGATAATGGCCAAAAGAGACGTGCAGCGCTGTTTGCATTGGCCGTGGTGGTCATGCTGGCCGTTATTGTAGCTCTCGTCTTGGGACTCCTCGGAGTATTCGCCGGAAACAACGAGGGAGAACCACTCCAGATTCTCGCGGGAAGCAAAGAAGAAAATACAAATGACAGCCTTTCAACTCTCCAACGAATCAAACAGGAAGGTATCTTACGATGTGAATATCGTGAGGTTCCCAATAACATAACGGATATTCCCGGATTCAGCTACAGCTTTGTAAGTACATACACTTTGTTGTTCTTTTTGGTCTGGTAAAGAGTTGATTGAGCCAACTTTAGTTTTCAAAATGGTATCCTCACAAATCGTTGTCATCCTGTCGATTAATCTCTCTTTTTAAGTAGTGCCTTGCAGTGGCAGCCGCCATCTTTGGACAAGAGACTGCTAAGGACAAGATCGACTTTCAAAAATTTAAGAATCGGACCTCTCTGTTTGCACCTCTTGTGGAAGGGCAAGTGGACTTGTACTGTTCTGGATACACACATACCATGGAACGGGATGTACTCCAGACTCAGGTCAAGACTGGCTTGTCCTTTACCGCTCCTTTTCTATACATAGGAATGGCCGTTGCTGGTGATCCCTTTCATGTTGGCTGTGTAGAAGACAACTTTAGACACCTCTATGAGTGTCAGAGCTTGAAAATTTGTGTTAGACAGGACACAACCTATGCAAGTATAGTACAAGCTGCCATACCAAGACGCTATATTGTACCAGTGGAAACTGTGGGCCATGCTACCAAAGGGTTTGTCAAGGGTGACTGCAACGTCATTGCTTTGGGGAGTTTCGCTGCCTTGAGTGCAGAGGAGATAGCAGCTGCTGGATACAATGGGAGCTATGTGCGGAGTGAACGCTACTTCTCCAAAGAACCTTTGGGCCTTGCAACCAGAAAAGACGATCCAGAATTCACGGCCTTTGTGGCTGCCATTCTGGATTCTCTCTTTGTGGCAGAGCTACACAACATCACTCAGGCCACTGCCCACTTGTTTCCTCCCATGCAAATCTTTGGCATTGACTCTCAATACATGTTTCAAGATGCCATTTCTGCTGTGGGAAACTATGGTGAAATCTACAAACGCCATTTGGCCAGAGGTATTCCTCGGGCCACACTCAACGAGGTCAATCAAGGAACCACAGGATTGCTCTTTTCACACCCATTTGGTGCCATTGGAGAGAACACAAGAGAGGAAGACAAGATTCCACTCGGAGATGATGTCCAATCAATTGTGGAAAGAGGGAGTGTCCGATGTGGTATTAGTGCCAATGCAGAAAGGGCTGGTTTTGCGTCCAAAGTGAATAGCACTGTTTCATCTGTGGCTTACGAGGGATTCGAGATTGATCTCTGTCAATCCCTATCCACTTCATTGTTTCAAGGCCAGCCCAACAAGATACAGTTCGTCGAGGTGGAGAAGCCCGAACATGGCTTTGCTCTCCTTGCAAGTGGTGCAATAGATGTTTTGGCTGGAGTGACAAGCAGTCTCCAGAACCGTGTCAAGGAACCATCCACAGGACTAGGCTACTCCTTTTCTGTGCCCTACTTTTATGATTCTGTACACAACAGCAATCTCTGCATGGCCACCAATCAAGATGCCCACGACTGGTCTGTGTGGGTGTACTGGATTGTCACTGCTTTGATCTTTGCGGAGGAGCAAGGCATTGGTCAAGAAACATCCAACATGATGCCAGAGGTCCTGCTGTTTGGTAACCAGTACAAGCGGATGTTTCGAGATGCCATTTTGGAAGTGGGGAACTATGGCGATCTTTTCGATCGGAACTTGAAGGCCATCAACATCCCACGCACTGGCCAGAACATGCTCAATCAAAACTCCAATCAAGGACCACAGCACTATGCACCTCCAGGGTTTATCTAAGAAATGATCGTCGAGCTGGAGGTGTAGAACCAAAATGCCCATGAACCTCCAAGAGGCTGGTTACTTGTGTCACCATCGGGATCTGCTGATTTGCATGACGTAGTGGTAGCTCTCCCAGTTTTGTTTATAATTAGTTTTTAGTGATGTTCTTTCTACTCGGGCACCGCGAATATTATTTATTCCGATGAGACGAACACCCAACCTGGATTTTGAATAGCGGTGACATCACGGATCAACTCACATCCTTACCCAAGCTAGCCCCTGCTCCGCTCTGGAGATGTTTATCATCCCTCCCCGGGCAAAACGATGGCCTCTATTGTCGGAAAGGACTGCTACCCTTCAGGTATCTTAGATTTTTAGAATGACTGCTAGCCGGTTTGTAGGTTTGTGCGTACATCGTACAGGAGGCAACGAAACGATTTCTAACTAAATCACTAACAATTTTCTACATGCATGATTCGATTCCATAACTACATGGTGTCCCCACCACCACGCACTACAGTTCTTGTTCTTCTTCATCATTACCACCAGTTGTTGCGGCAAATGCGGTGTCGGGATTGTACGGATTGACAATATGGGGTGGAATCGGCTGTCCCGTCAATGCCAAGTGTTGCATGAGACTCATTTTGGCATGCCAGGAACTGGTATCTGGTAAATGCAATCGTAGTTCTTGTCCGGGATGAATATCCTTGGTGGCATACAATTTCAAGACGATTCCGGCACTGTTATGATCCATTTGTTTTAAATCTCGAATTTGTGGATCAATTTCCATGCGGCAATTGAAATTCTCCCCAAAGCGTTGGTGTTCTTCGTCCGGGCCCACTCGGAGGACAAGACCAATGTGTCCGGAAGCGGGTAGAATGGCCGATTCGTCAAAGAATTCGAGCACATCGTGATGGAGTTGATCTTGACGTATTGTTGTTGTATTTTCTGTTTCTTCGTCATCCGTACTATTCTTCTTGCCCTTTAATTTGTAGGCATAATACATTTCTCGCAGTGAAAGAATATCGTGTGTTTGTGGATTGGTCAAATCGGTCCATCGAATGAGCATGGGCGAGAGCGGCGAGTGTTCAAAATCGGCCACGGGTACGACCAATGCCGGTCCTTTATCAATCATGTATCCTTCTCGAATGAATTGTTTGGCCACGGCCGTGGGATGATCTTGTAATGGCAGCATCGCTTCCATGTTGAATTTTGGTAGCGATTCTGGTCCATGCACCAATTCGTGCGATGCCAAGACGCGATTCCACCACGTGGATTGTCCCAGCCCAGAAACGATGCGACTGCAATGTCGATCTTCCAATTGCAACAATCGACCGTGACCGGGAATAACTTCTTCTTCCTGTTGTCGTTGGATCATTTCCATACCCCGTTCGTCAAACCACTCGTCGCCGTATGACGACAATAATTCTTGACCTCGTTGAATGTCGCGCAGTGCCACAAATCCTACCGCCAACGACGCCCACGGCATGTTCTTGTCGGGTTCATGTCCAAAACTGGTATAGAACACATTCTGTTCGTCACCGACACCGTGATTGTAAAACATGGACATGCCAAAAATGGCAACACCAAACGAGAAATCGTCGGGATCGCGAGGAAATTGAAAATCGTAATGAAAATCGTGCAATTCATTCGAAGCCATCATTTGTTGTGTTTTGAGTGGGACATAGCGGGGCGCCACTTCCACTACTTCGCCCGCTTCAAAATCGCGGGCGGCAAAGACACCCCAGCCACCACGGTCCGGCGATGGTGCCACGTAAATGTCACACAGACGACTCGTGTTGCGTTGCGGACCAAAAATGGGAATGCTCTGTTGTTGTTGTTGTTGTGACGATGATGAGTCTTGTTGTTCTTGTTGTTGAGCAAACACTACCACTGTTTGGAACAGCAGCCACCACCAGGGAGATAACATCCAACAGAGGGGCTTCATCTTGCTTAGTGGGTGGGTGGGTGGGGAGAGTTGGTTGGTCTGGTGTGGAAGAATGAGTGTTTGGGAGCGTTGCATGGATCCGAAATGAAGACCTGAGAGGCAAAATGGATCTTGGACAAAAGCAATCTTGGACAAAAGATCCATAAGTCCAACGTTTTCCCAATCCTCACAAAACGAACCATGCACTACTTAGAGACAAGACTCTACGGCAAGTTGAAGTTGTGACTCATTGCACTATAGGAAGTTGAGTACTCTTCCAAAGTGTTTTTAATACTACCAGGAACTGAGTAGCTAGTACACGTACCGGTAGCTGTTTCAATTGAGCTTGCCCTCTGCCAAGCGCCAAGCTTGGCCTTCCCGAAAGATCCAACAAAATCGCTAGACTCGCCAAAACAGGATTTCTCAAAAGACTTAAAGGCCATTTCTTTAAAAACCCAAGAGGCGAGGGCGATCAAGTGCATTTGAGTGTGGGATTCGATTCGATTGGACTTATGTATGTAGCTTGCTACCGTAAAAGTATTAGTTTGTACTAGAGACGTAGCTTTTGAACCCAGTCCGAAGCCAATCCAGAAGAGCCATAGTAAAATCAAGCCGAAACCTAAATATAAAATCGAAACATAAATATAAATCGAAACCCAATTATAAAATCGAAACCCAAGTAGGAAGCAGAATTACTTGTAAATCGCGATTTCGGGCCCTTTCGTTAGTTTCACGCTTTTGAGTTAGTTTCACGCTTTTAGTTGTGTTTAAGTTGATTTACTATGGCAGATACTGAACTAGTTTTATGCTTTTTGGTTAGTTTCACACTTTTTGGGTTAGTTTTAGGCTTTTGGGTTTGTTTCACGCTTTTGGGTTAGTTTCAAGGAAACGGTGGTCCATTTTCGGTGAAACTAACCAAAAGCGTGAAACTAACCCAAAAGCGTGAAACTAGTCACATTTCAGGACCTTGCTGACAGGTATGGCTCTTCTGGATTGGCTTCGGAGTGCGTTCAAAAGCTACGGTCCTAGTACAAACCAATACTTTTACGGTAGCAAGCTACGTACACACAAGTCAAATCATTCGAATCCGACACTCAAATCGCCCTCGCAGCTTGGGTTTTTCAAGGAATGGCCTCTTATGTCTTTCGAATATCTTGTTTTGGCGAGTCTGGCGATTTTGTACTGGTACTAGAGACGTAGCTTTTGAACGCACTCCGAAGCCAATCCAGAAGAGCCATAGCTAGTTTTGCGTCAATCCAGTGACCATGCACCCTGAAAGCTAACCATGCCTCCTGAAAGCTCACCATGCCTCAAGAAGGCAGCAAGCAGCGCCCCTGCGCCTTCCGTGCTCCCGTAGTTTATGATTGTGCATGCAGCTAATGGTTACAGCCACAACAAACCATGTCCCTGCAAGCTCCAGAATCGAATAATGGAGAGCACCAAGCCAACCTTCATCCAGGGCAAGGACAGCTCCCCGAGGGATTGAACAGGAACAGTGAACATGCTTCCACCACTGGCCAGTCCAACAAAGAAGACGATACACCACCAGAGATCCCAGAAGGCATCGACCCAACCTTCTTCCAGTTATCAGAAGAGGAAAAGGAGAATGCTGCGGATATCAAGGATGCCATTGAAAGCTTAACAGATGCAGACAATCTGTCAGACTTTATGTATGCAAATATGGCTCTTGTATGGGATGTAGCCACTGCAGTGGAACATGCCTACCTGATACAAGAAGTGAGAAATGAGTATAAGATACTGCTAACGTATGAAGATGGTGTCCGAGCAATCACAGAATTGGTAGAACTGTGGCCGACATATTTTCTCTCTTACATGTTTGATTTAAAGGAGGCAAAGTCTGTTTTGGTAATGGACTTGAGCGTCCCAGATAAGGAATCCTGGAGAGACCCCAGGAAAGTTGCAAAGTTGATCCGTGGAGGGTTCTACGTCACAGCTGCCACATTCCCTACCTTGGAGGTCATGAGGAAAGGTAAAACTGACATCTTTGAATTTGAAGGGTTTCAGTGGGGAAAGGGTATGGTTGAGGTGAGAGGTGCCGACGAAGTTACCCGCCAGACCATCGGTGCCTTGCCTTCGAAATTCGAAGCTCATTTCTACCACACTCCTATGATGGGTAAGCATGAGTTTTTTGGCTGGCTTGGCATTCATGCTGCTCCTCCTGTCAACCAATGCTCATTCTTGATTCGTTCTTGTTTGTTGCTCTGCTGCATTAGCAAATGTGTTTGTGTCCATGTTGAAAAAGATGCTCCCCACAGAGGTTGCAGCAAGGTTTCATGTTGGGTTTCGATTTGCCGGAGGGAGATTATCCACTTTCTACTTACAACCAACACCTGAAATCGCTTCCAAGAGAACCTTGGGAAACCTGCTGGAGGGCCTTAAAATTCGATTTGACAGTGAGAAGATGTTTTCACTTGATACAAATTATGGCACGCTTCAAGAGGAGGAGGAAGGCGAGGACTGAGACCACCCGGTTCTTTTTCGATGCATTGGCGTGGATTGTGTCCTTGCATGTATGTGCAATCGTTCAATTCCCTTCCCCCATTGCCTTCCTCTTCCATTGAGACCCCGGCTGATTGGCACTCATGTGTACACCGAAATGCGTAAACACAGTTCAATTGCCATGGCATAGTCTCAAGTGGTTGCGCTGGGCCAATCCGCGAAGGAAACTAGGACACTGCATTTGTATATTCGCTTTATTTACTTACTGCACTGATTGTGGGCCCTTCCGCTAGCAAGGAAGTTGTGTCTTCAATAGGCGAACAAAGCTCCAAGTCCAAAGTTGGATTATGACTAGCCAAATGCATCTATCTAGGGAACTTGGTCTAATTGGGATACAAACACTGGTGGTTGTGGTGCGCTGGGGGCTGAAACGTAAACGGACATCCGTTGGTTTCCTGGTATTTAGTTGAATACAACGATCAGGGCATTCTCATGGGTCTGGAGGGATGCCCACTATCCTTCCATTCCATGGTTTGCCTGCTGACAGAGATATCCTTCACATCATACCACACTCACTGCGTCTGCGGTGGTACTGTTGTAGTTCATGGCTGGGAGTGGCGGTGTCGTCACAATGTCCAATGGAGACAGGGGATCCGCAACAGCTTCTTCTCGACGACGAGACGGTTTGTACGATGCCGCCCGCTCGAGCAATCGTCGAAATGCCGTTCGGTCCACTCTCCATAGTCGGCAGTCGGATATAGCAGTGCAAGTCGCTGCTCGAGGAGAATCGTACCACAATGCCAACTCACCAAAGGAACCTCCCGGTCCACACATTCCTAAATCTTTGCCATCCGAAGAGAACTGGACGGTACCGGCTTCGCAGAAGTACAAGCAATCTCCCGCATCTCCTTGTTCCAGTATGACAGTACCCGACTCGAACTGTTCCATCTCGAGCAAGTCTTGCATATCGACTCGTTCCGAGGGTTCCTCCAGTGCCTTGGTCAGATACAGGACCACGCTTCGAATCTTTTGATTCTGCTGATTGGCGGATTGCACGAGCAAGTGACGGAACGCGGGTCGGTCGACCTTCCATAGACGACAGTCGGAGGACGCTTTACAGGTCGCTGCCCGAGGCGAATCGTAGAGCAGAGAGAGTTCTCCAAAGGATCCACCTTTGCCACACTCTCCAACGGATTTGCCGTCGGCAATAAACTCGACCGTTCCATCTTCTACAAAGTAGAGCGACTTGTTGTCCGTGTCTCCTTGTTGGAGAATCACTTCACCGGCCTTTTTTGTTTCCACCTGCAATCCATTGTTCATCAAGTCGGCTTTTCGCGGATCATTCCTTTCCTCCAAAGAAAGGAGTGTGTTGAGATACTGAACCGTATCGGTAACTTGCCGTATCCCGGTACATTCTTGTGGTGACAGATCGAACCGATTCAGTTGAATGGCTCGCATACAGGCATTGTACTCGTCTCGTGTGACGCATCCATCACCATTGGCATCAAAGGCACTAAGTGTATCACTGACAAATTCATCGGACGGATCAATTTCAAACTTTTTGGCCAATGCGAGCCCCAACTGTTCCTTGGTGATCATGTCCGTGTCATCATCGCCATTGTTGTCGTGTTGAGGATTGTTGTTATTGTTGTTGTTGGCAACACTATTATTATTAATCTCGTCAAACGATCCAATGATTTGCCAAATTTCGCGATAGTACACTTGCAGTACCAACTCTTTGGCCGGCCGCGTGGCATCGGCATGAGGCATCGTCTCGTGATTGTCTCGCGCATACGCCACCAACGGCATGATTTTATCGAGCCCCGTGAGCAAATGATGCAGCGTGGCAACCTTGTAGATGCGATTGGGATCAAAGGGTTCTCCTCGTATTTGTAGAATCTTGTACTTGCCATCATTGGGCGTTTGCACGACGGTGAGTTTACTACAACACTGAAGGAATCCACCTCCTTGTTCTCCTCCACAATTGCGACTGTAATCAATGGCATGCTCCAAGACACGTCCCGGCAACTGTACGACACAAATTTCCGTCGTGTAGGGCAATTCCTTGATGAGATCGGAAAACGTAAAGAATCGTTCATTTTTGGTCGAACTTGGAACTTGTCCTGGCTTGGTCGTGTACACGGTATTGCCGCGAATGGATCCCGCATTAATGACGGCGACATCGGCCCTCAATGCTTTCCGAACAGCCGTACTAATGAGACTGCCAATGGTAGTTTGTCGTTTCCGGACACCGACCGATGTCAATGCCAAATCTTTGCGACTTTCAATCACTTTGAGGACGGTGCGATCGAGACGGCGAAGTGGCGCGTGAAAATTGTTAATCATGGTTTGGAGTGTTTCACAGGCGTACGAATCGTCCAATTGAGGAATGTCGACAAATTCGACCTGAATGGTGGGACGTGTGGATGCTGCCGTCTCCCAGAGCAAGTCAATGACAATGGCCTGTTCGGCATCAATGCCGGCCTTTAGTACGCGACAGGTTTCTTCCTGCTGAGAATTGTTGTTTTCATTTTGGAAAATGGGAATATCAAAGGGATCATGATCGTGACCTCCCAGAATGAGTGGCATTTTTTGAGGACATCCAAACTCCTTTGCTAGTTCCACGTCCAAATGCAAATCCTGATGGGTCAGTGGGAGTATCATGGTGTTGTCGTCGTCTTGACAGTTCTCCAAATACTCTCGGAGGGCTTGTGGAACCGGTACAGCAGATTCGACGGCTCCTTCGCAAAAGGCATTGGGCAAGTAGAGATTGGGAGTGGCATCCAACAATCCCAGCAGTGACAACTTTCGTAGGTGCGATCCATTTTGACTTGTGAGGTGTAAGTCTACGACGGGTGGCATGTGTCGATGTTGTGTTTTGGGTAGGACGGGAAAGTTGGAATTGATAATGGTGCCCTTGAAATTGTCGACATTGTCCGTAAACGCTTTTGTGCCGTGATCGGCTTCGTGATTGCCCAAACAGGCGTAATCGACAAACTCGCTCAAACAGGATACCATGGCTTTGCCCTTGTCAATCGAACTCAGCAGAGAGGGAGAAAAGAAATCACCACCCAGCGTACAGATCAATGTGCTAGATCCACTGCCTTTCTGTTCTTTCTTCTTCTGTTGTTGTTGCTGCTCCTCCTTCAAGCGATTCACAAAGCCACGGAATTTCGGAAGATGATCCAACTTGTAGACATCGTTGAAATGCACAACGCGAAGATGAATGCTGCTGCTGCTAGTCGAGCTACCACCGGTAGAACTAGCAGCACCCGCCGAGGGTACGGGAGATGCCAACCCGTTGACCACTCGGGCCAATGACAATGACAACAAGAAAATCACACATCTCCCAACAACACTGGATATCGTCATCATGTTGCTTCGGCTTCTCTTCATTCGTTCTATTTGTCTATATTTTACTATTGAATGAATGGGGAAGTGCAAAGGCATCCACCGAATCTATCGAATCAACAATGCCAATAATCTCCCACATACCGCCCCGTCAAGTTCGTCAAAGAAGAAAATTAATAATGAGAGAGATTTCGTGTGCGTGACGTTTTGGGCAAGATTTCGTGCCACGTCTCCTTTGTGACTTTCGAGACACCGAGACACGGATCAACCTTTTGCATTCAATGGTCTTTGAATACCGGTGCTGGTAGAGGATTTACAGCACAGTTTCACACTCAACCACCACAGCACAACTAGTACACTCCAAACTCAATAATAAGAAAGCTCTAACTGGGAGTCAGTACTCGAGCTTTCTTACCCATCTGCTCTATTTTGCTACTCACATTATTTCTAACACAACAAGCCAATTTCAGTATAGATGACTTTCTTACAAAGCTTCTAGATCAAACAGGTTAGTTCTTGGATACACCAAGTGCACCTGGCCCTTTGGGACCAACTTGCTCAGGAATATTCATTGGTTTTGGGTCAAGTGCAAATGGTGATCACTGTCTCTGCCGTGAGGCAGAAAATTTTGCAGATTTAGGCACAAGTTAGGAGCATTTTCATGGTGTCAGACTAGTAGAGTTTCTTGTGCTTTGAGGTCTCAATACTGGGAGGTTTTCTTAGAAGTCAGTGATATTTCAGTATAAAAAGATTCTTATCTTTTTCTAAAATCTGAGTACTCGCTTTCTTATTTGGAGTTTCTTACATTCAGGTTTGGAGTGTAGACCTCTACTCTAAAGGCATTGATGAGCAAAACCCCACAGCCTGTACGTACTTGTACTCAATACGGTAGGTAATCGTCGTTGCTCATCATTGGCAAGTTGGCACGGTTTTGGGAAGAACTAACGAGATAGCAGAGTTTTGCCATACGAGGACCAGTACAGTACCAGCTGCTGATGTTCTTGGCTCTTGTTGTCCGCAATAGCTAACCAATGGAATTGCCAGTTGCTCCTAGCTATTCTAGCTTGCTCCAACAGCTCTCCAACACAGAACGCAGAATAATTCGTAGTGCTGCAGCCCAATTGCCACTTCGGTATGGCACCGGCACCGGCACAGGTACGATGCTGCGATACCAGAAGCTGGCTCTCTCTCGAACTCTCTCTGAGCTCTAGTAGTGCTAGCTAGCACTACTAGCTAGCTAGCTAGTACGTGTACCGGTACCGGTAGAGTGGATAATCATTCGTGGATTTTGGAGTGGTAGCTTTTAGTTGACGCCGAAAAGTTGTATGTATGACTAAAATTAATGTGCTCGAGTAGACTATGTGAGTACATGTGTGCATACATGTACGGGAAGGTAACTTCAAGGAGTACCAGTAAGCCTGTTATTAGAGTTGTTATTTATTAAAAAAAATAGTCTCTGGCTAGTAGTACGACTGTACGCTGTGCCGGTAGACGTCCACGAGACACCGGCAATAGAAGCACGTGCCTTTAATTAAAACAGTTGAATCGATTGAGATTCGAATGAATCAGAATCGAATCGAGTCTGGGCTAAAGCTCTTCCAAATATTTGTTCGTTTATGAAGAGCACCCCACCTTTTGAGTGGTCGAAAGGTCAAATTCTGGAGTACACATTACACTAGTCTACTACATCCACTGATAAATCATTACTTCCCTGGAACATCTGCCTGCAGCCGTACGCTCTTGCGCCATGGTTATCCTCCTCGCTTCCTCAGCCTGCCTGAGCGATTGATTGGCTAGCGTACCGGTACCGTACGCCGTTAAACGTACGCGGTTGAGCGAGGTCTTAACACGAGTACTGCTCCAGACCCAGATCCCGCAGTAACAATTTTACTACTAGAATTTATTATTTGACTCGCTAGGTAGTCAATTAAGCCCCAATCCCAATAGAATGGAGGCAAGAAGCGCGTAAACTTACAAGATAATAAATTAATTAAAAGACATCCCCTCCAATAATTGAACTAAGTTACGAACGTGGCCTAGTTAAATCAAAGCATCTCACTTTTATTCCCTTCACACTAAGACTTCACACAGCTTCCCCCTCCCAGCAAAAAACTGGCAAAGCCACGCGCCACCCTCACCCACTCGCAACAGTGCAATTGAGGAGCATCCACCTATCTCCGTTGCATCGCTCTGGCACAAAACACCAGCAACGAAGACTTCATCATGAAGTCCTATTCCACCATCCTCGAGGCCCTCAACCACCATGCTATGGAAATCCCGGACATGGTCGTCTTCACCTGGGTCGATATCAATTGTGAGGAACAGAACAAGATGACATTCAAAGAATTGGAGGACAAGTCGAATGCTGTGGCTGCTCGTCTCCTCAAGCTTGGATGCAAAAAGGGAGACCGTGTCATGGTGGCCTATCCTTTTGGCCTGGAGTTTTTGGCCGGTATGTTTGGTGCCATGAAGATTGGTGTCATCCCCTGCTCTGTCTATCCACCCAATCCCAATCAGCTCAAGACCGACATGCCCAAATTCCACAGATTTGCTGAAGATGCCGGAGCCAAATTTGCCATTTCTACCAGCATGTTTGCTGCGGGGATGACGGCAGCTAGCATTCTCTACAAGACTGGGGTCAAGTGGATTGCGACTGACAAATTGCCAATCAAGAAGGTCAACCCAAGCAAGCCAAAAGACTATGAGAAATTCGTTGGGGAACCAGAAGACATCTGCTTCATACAATATACCTCAGGCAGTACTGGATGTCCCAAAGGAGTCATGGTCAGTCATCAAAACCTAGAAGAGAACTGCAAGGCTGGCATGTCCGTGACGGGTTTAGACACTTCTTCTTCGGTAGCTCTATGGGTTCCTCAATATCATGGTACGTTCCACCAAGCAAAACCAGCCTTATTCATGAACTTTGCATTGTAGATGGCTCATCTTGCCATTGATATGGCCCACAGACATGGGACTCGCAGGATTCATGTCCTGCCTCTACACTAGCAGTCATCTTGTGGTGGCATCACCCCTTGACTTTATTGTCAAACCACTGCTGTGGTCAGATATGGTGGAAACATACCAGGCCACCCATACAGCAGCACCCAACTTTGCATACGCCTTACTCCTCAAGAGGCTGGAGCAGGCCAACAGGACAGCTGACTGGAGTTGTATGAAGGCCGCAATGTTTGGTGCCGAACCTGCCCAAGGCCATGTTGTGGAAGCGGTTGCTAAAACCCTCTCTGTCAAGCCTGAGCATGTCTATAACAACTATGGTCTGGCTGAATCAGTTGTGCTTCTCACTGGTGGACCTGCCTGCCCAGATGCTGAGGGTGTTGTATGCTGCGGTGCGGTAGACTCGCCAACCCTTAAAATTCGAATTGTTGACGATGGAAGGGAGGCGGAAGAGGGTCAAGTTGGAAGCATTTGGGCTCAGTCTCCTAGAGTGGCAGCTGGGTACTATGGCCAGCCAGAGCTGACCACGTCAACATTTGCCAATGCATTGCCTGGCTATGATGGCATCTGGCTTGACACCGGAGATTTAGGCAAGGTGGTTGATGGTCAGCTCTATGTTACTGGCAGAGTCAAAGATGTGATCATTGTCAATGGCAAGAACTACTACCCAACTGATATGGAGCTCTCAGTTGATGAAACTTTTGGTGACATCATCCGCCCAGGAAGGACAAGTGCATTCCAGCATGGAGAAGCCAGTGTTGGCATCACTGTGGAGGGTCGCAAAGGATTTGAAAAGTCAGCAAATGAAGACTTGGTCATTCAGATAGCCAACCATGTATCACTGGTGCATGGGCTTTTTGTCTGTGAGGTGGTTGTTCTCAAGTTGGGTGTGACTCCCAAGACAACATCTGGGAAGCTGAAGAGAAGTGAGATCAGGAA